CGTCTTTGGTCTGATCCTGGTGAGCAGTCCCGCTGTCAATTTTGCACTTGAGAAACGCTTAAGTCGTCTTCAGAATACTAGTATTGCTATCGTCGCTGCCTCTCGCTTAGTATTTGCAGTCGCACGCGATGGCGTTATGCCAGGGTCCAAGTGGATCAGTCAAGTTGACTCCGAAGGGCAACCCAAAAATGCCGTCACTGTCATCTACATATTCGCTGCCTGCCTTTTGTGCACTATTCTGCCAAGTCAAGTGGCTTTCTATTCGCTCGTTTCTGCCGGTGGAGTGCCAACAATTGCCGCCTACGGCCTAATCGCGCTTCTGAGACTTACAATGACACCGGACGACTTCAAGTCGTCATACTTTTTTCTGGGACGATTCCGAAGACTTTTCTATTTTGTGACAGTATTGTTCAGTGGATTAATCGTCGCAGTACGTTTCCAAACCTCGCGTCATGATGAATTTCTCACATCTCATTTTCATAGGTGATGCTGTCACCGTTTTTCTTCCCCGTCAACGCGCAAAACTTTAACTTCGTAAGTCCTTTTGTCTGACTGGCTAAACGTGAAATCTAACTACCTTCGGCATAATCAGGCCTGCGTTATCTTTGGCGCCGTTACTGTGTTTGGAGTTGCCAGCTGGTATTTCACGCCTGAGGAGAAGTGGCTTCGTCCACAACTAGTCGCCCAGGCGCTGAAAACTTCGGAACAGCCTCCAGTTGCATAAGGAATTTTACCCTCTTTCTACGTTTTGAGATCTTGTTTTTTTTTTGGAAGCACAACTGTTATCGTTTGCTATCAGTATATGCAATTACTTTCTAGAGCTATTTTGGAATAACTATCATTTCTCCGCCCACGAGAGCGATGCAAGATTACATCTGTCCGAGGATTGCTCGGAACAGTGCACAAGTTCCGCATTCTCCTCGGCGAGTGTTGGTCAAGCCATACACCTGAGCATGCCGATGAGAACCCAGCTCTTCAAGTCGCTAAAATCATGAAGGACGTGAGTTGTACCCCCCTTACGCCGATGTCGAAGGTCCAATCCGCGGTGAGAGACCTTTCGCGTTCTAATTTTGGGATGCAATAAAAACTACTACAGTCGTGGACAAGCAAAGCCCACTAATAAAAATGGAAATTATTGATGGCTACCAAAGTGCCCGGAAAACGTGCAGATACGTTGAGGGAAGCTTCTGGCCAAATTTCAGCCAAGTCTCACGAGCCGTTTTGGAGAAAATGGCCATATACAAAAATAGACCCTAAATTTTTGGCCGGACACCAAAAAGTGCCAAGAAAAATATGAAAAATAGCGGAATCGCTTCCTTTCACGGAGAACAATCTGCCCATCAAGTTTCGAAACAATTTATCGAGCGGT